ATAAACACTACACGAACAAATGATATAATAAGCATAACACTCGAAATGATTAAAATGATACAATGGCATGACACACAAAATAAAATATTAAGAAAAATAAACTTTGTGAAAATTTAAAATAAAATGACATTGACAAAATATTATTAAGAAAAAAGTGATAAAAAAAAAAATTCACATTTTGAAATTATTTCCGATTTAATTGATACTTTTGACATTTGAAGTACTATAAAGCGAACCCCAACAGTCGCACCAGTGCTAAACCCACCACACCATGGATCCTTTCTCCTCCGCCACGATTGCACGGCAGACATGGGAGCTGGAGAACAACATCGTGGACGCCGCCGTCGTCGCCGCCGACTCCTCTTCGGCGTCGTCCTCCTCCGCGTCGGACGCCATCTTCTACTACGACGAGGCGGCCCAGGCCAAGTTCCAGCAGGAGAAGCCTTGGACCAATGACCCGCACTACTTCAAGCGCGTCAAGATATCGGCTCTCGCGCTCCTCAAGATGGTCGTCCACGCGCGCTCCGGTGGCACGATTGAGGTCATGGGGCTTATGCAGGGGAAGACCGACGGCGATGCGATTATTGTCATGGACGCTTTTGCCCTCCCCGTCGAGGGTACGGAGACTAGGGTTAACGCGCAGGCCGATGCTTACGAGTATATGGTTGATTATTCGCAGACTAATAAACATGTATTTTTCTACACTCCACTTGCGGCTTCAATTTCTTCTTTTGATGTGTTTCTCTTGCATTCTTGTTGAGTTGTAACCTAATTTTGATTACATGTGAGGATAAATAAATATTGTAACTGCATTAGACCTCCCATTGGGCATACCCATACCCTAATAAGGGTTCCTAAAGTTAATGCTGGGCTAATTTTGAGTCTAATGGGGTTAATTGAATAAGTTTTGAGCTGTCCCAGTATCTATATCACAAGAGTGAAGTAACAATTTGTTTTTTCATCTCATTTATTCCGATGATTATCAAATTCTAAACTAGCCTGTTGGCTGATAGATGAACCCTTGTGTTTAATTCTTCTGATGCTATGAATTTTGTATACTCGACATGTAATGTGGTCACTATATTGGTTTTTTTTCCTAAATTATCTTTAATGCCTCTGAAAAATCATTGTCTTGAATGAAAGGCGGGGCGTTTGGAAAATGTAGTGGGATGGTATCATTCCCATCCGGGTTATGGATGTTGGCTTTCGGGTATAGATGTGTCCACACAAATGCTTAACCAGCAATTCCAGGAGCCATTTTTAGCTGTTGTCATTGACCCTACAAGGACAGTCTCTGCTGGAAAAGTTGATATTGGTGCTTTCAGAACATACCCAGAAGGGTACAAGCCTCCAGATGAGCCTGTTTCTGAGTATCAGACAATCCCCTTGAACAAAATCGAGGACTTTGGAGTCCATTGTAAACAGGTTCTGCTAACACACACACACATAAATATACATTTTAAAATTCTGATTGTCGTAGCAAATTTTTAATTTAATAAATCTTATTGGATGCAGTATTATGCATTGGACATCACATATTTCAAATCATCTCTTGATTGCCATCTTTTGGATCTACTCTGGAATAAGTATTGGGTGAACACACTTTCTTCTTCTCCATTGCTTGGTAATGGAGACTATGTTGCTGGACAGATCTCGGATTTAGGTAATGTCCTTGTTGGTATGCAAGTTATTTAAATTCTTTGCACAAGGTCAGTCCATTTATGGCTCCATATTTCTTGCAGCCGAGAAGATAGAGCAAGCTGAAAATCAGTTGTCTCATGCACGCTTTGGATCCTTGATTGCAACTCCTCAAAGAAAGAAAGAGGTGAAATTTATCTGCATTTCATATTGCTTGCTTATCAATACTGAGTCTCACTTAGAGCATGTTGATTTCTGTATCCTATTGCTTTATTACACGGACACGTTCTGTTACTGTGAAGTACCTCAATCGATAATTTGCATGTATAGCCTTATAGTTATAGCAGTTCTGTTGTGCTGAAGTCTTGAGCTCTAGATCTGTGGAACTCCCTGAGCATTTGATCTAGTTCTTTGCTGATATCGCATCAATAAATGTGGAAAAGCATCATAATAGTGCACCTTTAAGTTTAGGATGATGTATTTGAACTTTATGGCAAGCTATATGCCTCACTCAGAGGTTGGATTATGATTATTCTTTCACACCTCTATCTCTCTCTGTGTGATTTGTGTCATTTCAGCACGTTTTGTGCTGCTTTTTTTTTTTTACATGGTGAAACCCTTATAGATGGTTTTATTTATTCCAGGAAGAATCTCAACTTTCTAAGATCACCCGTGACAGTGCAAAGATAACTGTGGAGCAGGTTCATGGATTGATGTCCCAGGTAAAGTCTGGTTACCTTTTTTCGTGCCTCTCTCCATACCAATTCATAGCAGTGTTAGCTTTGAAACGAAAATTCCCGTTGTGTCGAAAAAAAAAAAAGCCTCGACAATACATAAATTGTTTTTTTTNNNNTTGTTTTTTTTTTTTTCTTCCAGGTCATCAAGGACATTCTTTTCAATTCTGTACGGCAGTCCAACAAATCTCAGGCAGAATCTTCTGGTCCAGAACCCATGGTTGAGAGCTGAACTTAGTGGCTTTTAATTCTTCTTCTTCTACGTCTTCTTTTTCTTTTTCTTTTTTTTTTTGTAGTGGCATGATTTCTTTTATTATTCCTCTTGCTCCTTCACAAGAGTTTGAAAACGTTCGTTTTTTGCGAATACCATCATTTGGTAGGCTTGTAGCCACTAGACTTCACCGGTATCGATTTTGAGAATGACTGTATTCAGATTTGGGGCGATGATTCTCATATTTGCACTTCTGAAAGATATTATGCTGAAGTCTCTTATTATCTTATTTACTACTCCAGTAAGATAGTCGTACTAAATCATCTTGTTAAGTGACTGAATGTTGATGTGTTGACTCCTTTTCATGCCAACATATTGATATAGAAAATGGGTAAACTCTCGAAGTAAAATTTATAAGCTAGAACCTTTGTTAAAATAAACAAAGACAATTTGTGAATCGAACCTTAGTTAAATTTTGTTTATAGGTTCTTCGATCATGAGTCGAGCTGGGACTAGGAACATGATAACCTTCGAATTGGTTCATGAGAACACATGTTCAAAGACAATTTATTGACAATGTTGGATTTTTTGAAAATAAAAGTTGGAAAGTGCTCAAGCTAAAGTGAGTGCTTAGTAGTGAAAATACAAATTTGCTCTTTTCTGTCTGTAAATTCAAAACAAACATGAAAAAGTCTCATGAAGAAAGAAAAAAAATAAAAAAAATCAAGTCTTGGAACCATGGCTTTCTTATAGCTTCTTCACTTGCTCCACCTCTTCCTCGTCTACGCTTTCAACTTGTGGGAGTCTCTGAAGAAACAAAAAGGGAAAAATAATGACTATCGATCAATAATAAATAGCAAAAGATTATAATTGTTATTATTAAATGAATTCAGATGGGGCATTTTGTCGAACAGGTTGTGGGCTGTCTAGTTGAAGAGGGGGAAAGAATGAAGGCGAGTACCAAATCAGGCTTGTAGATGTTGTGCACGACGGAGGCGCCGGCTAGGAGGGATGCGACGACGACGGCGCACGACCATGCCAGCGACGGAGTTCCCGTCGGCTGCTTCCCGCCGCCGAATCTCCGGATCATCTCTATAAAGCGCGAATAAAGTGGAAAGAAAAATCCGAAAGGTAATTTGGAGTTTTAAATATTGCAAATACAATTTTTAATTAATATCGGCTTTTTTTTTTTTTTTTTTTATACAATGAAAGAGGTCAAAGAATTAAATACGGACTCCACGGGGGTAGAATACCCTTATATTATCGTGGTTCAGCCAGGGACGTAGTCCTTTCGGCGGGGACAAAATTCTGTGCAAATTAAGGGTAGAAGAAGATGCTAGGCTCGGCAAATGGTCAACCGCAAAATTAGCCTCCTTATACACGTGTTTTATTTGAAATTGTGACCATATTCAACAAATTAATAAAAAGAATAAATAAAGAAATGTCAACAAAAACTAGTCAAACAATTATTAACATACTTTTAAAATGAAAAATTATTATCTTCACAATATATTAAAAAAATCATATTCTTTCTTCCAAAAAGAAATTGCAAGAATTCAGAAGTTCATGAAAGCCATCCAATTTAAATATCTAGAATACAAATTCTTGCTTGAATATCAATTGAAAAAATGTATGACAACTTAATTATCATAGTAATCTTACAAGAAAATATAAGGTTTAAAATTTATCCAATGCAATAGCAATAAACACAAAACTCGATTCAAACAAAANNNNAAAAAAAAAAAAAAAAAGACATTTATTCCAATAATTTTTAATGCACCAAAAGTTCAATGAGGTAAAAATAAATATAAAAAATAAAAATAAAAAAAATTACTGCCTCATTATTAGTCCCCTAAACTCCCATCATTAATTCAAATCAGAACTAAATAACTGTCAATCCTTATTCAATACTTTCAAGTTTCAACTATTGTTAGCAGCAGTTAAGAATCCAACACAATGGCCCGGCGGGCCCAACTTAACGGGCGAAAGGCTCGATTTTAGTGACACGTCAGCTGAGCCCGGAAGCTTAGTATTCTCCTTCAGAACAGCTCCAATCTCTGCAAGAACCTTCCGGACCTCATCCGCCAGCTCGATAATGTAGTCATCCTCATGACCTGTTTGGATGCAACAAATCCTTAACTCACATTTCAAACTTTCTGCAGATAAAAAGGCCCGGGAAAATGTGTCGTGTAATTTACCTATATCAAACATGGCCTTCTCCAATAAAAAGAGGTAATCTTTGTTGTTTCCAAACGGTCCAAAAGCCATTGCTATTTGCCTAGCCATGATTTCTATAGGCGCCGGGCCCAAATAGTACTTGTTCGATATCTTGTCGGGTGTAGACGTGAACCTGCAAAAAAGAAAGAAAAAAAAAATTGGCCACATTAATTGGAAGTGTAATAAACTAGAACTCATGGTGTTGTTTTTAATCGAAATACTTACACAATCACACCATTCGCCAAGGGATGCTCGAGTTCACCTTCCTAAACAAAGAGGTTTTTTTCAAACATGTTATTATCAGCCAAGAATCAAAAGCCACTGATTTTGTTTTGCCATTGGTTTTTCTTTTTTAAAGGCCAAATGTGACTCACCTTGAAGAAATCCACCAAGGTTTTCTGGTCGTATTCGCATTCTCTTCGTTCGAGGTACTAAAACAACGACAAAGAGTAAAAAACCTTGATCTTTAATACGATGTCCAATTATCCAAAACCATGGCAAAAGATTCGATTTTTCATGGAAAATAAAACAAATTTGCCGAAACGGGTCTTTGAGGTACTAAAACAACAAGAAGGAGTTGAATTTAACATTAGCACGTCATCCAAATGTCTAAGCCATAGGAAAAAATCGATCTTTTATGGAAAATAAAACATGTCCGATGTACTAAGACAACAACAAAGACTAAAGCCTTGACATTAGTACAGTATCCAATTATCCAAAAATAGCAAACAAATCGGTCTTTCATGGAAAATAAAACAAATTTGTCGAAAACTGGTCTTCATTCGAGGTACTAAAACAACAACAAAGAACCAACCTTTCATAATCAAAATATCCAAAACCATGGAAAAAAATCAATCTTTCATGGAAAATAAAACGAATTTGTCAAACACGTAAAAGAGCACAGAACGGTGCATACCGCCATTGCTGCCTTTT